TACACACAGAGACTGAGAAAAAAGAAAGATGAATGATTTTTATTTAAGAGAACTAGTCCCGGGTTTAATGCAGAGATTTCATGGCTAAAATTTATAACATAAAGGGTTTCGTTTTGCGCCTTCAGGAAATCATTTTCTGCATGGTCAAAAGCTGCAAGCACATTTCATTAACTGAAGATCTTACCAGCTGGTGCACTAGTAGTTTTCAGAATGCACAAGATTTCAAAAAAAATAAAAGTAGATTTAATTCTACATGGGATGCCTTGTGCCCATCTTCAGAAACAGACTGAATCACTTTTCAGAGAGCCAGTGTGGTGTAGTGGTTAAGAGCGGTAGTCTCGTAATCTGGGGAACCGGGTTCGCGTCTCCGCTCCTCCACATGCAGCTGCTGGGTGACCTTGGGCCAGTCACACTTCTTTGAAGTCTCTCAGCCCCACTCACCTCACAGAGTGTTTGTTGTGGGGGAGGAAGGGAAAGGAGAAAGTTAGCCGCTTTGAGACTCCTGAAGGGAGTGAAAGGCGGGATATCAAATCCAAACTCTTCTTCTTCTACTACTACTATTATTCAGCATTTATATTGCCAGTCCATACTGGATAGGGATGGGAATTGTACTGTACCAACAACAAACGTTTATGGTTTTTGTTGCAGGAAGATACATCAGCTCTTCCATTGTGGGAAGATGTCTGGGTTCTCGCAAGTAAGATAGATAGGATGGCAGGGCATAAAAATCTTAGGTAACAAGGATCTCTTTTACACTATCAAATTATTAAGCATTAATATTAACATTTTTAGATTCAGTACCAGAGCAAGATGCCTAACATTTCACCTGCCAAATCAATAATTTGGGGGATATGCTGCACTGTTACATTTATGAGATGTAAGGAACTGGTATTCAAAATGAATACAGATTCTGAGATGCCACCATAATTGCAAGCTGTTGTGGGAAACTTTCATATTCAGTGCTAATGCATCTAGCTACAAGCCTTGCAAGAACCCTACAATGCAGGGAAGGGGAACATAGTGGCCTTCCAGCTGTTATTGGACTACAACAGCCAGCCAGCATAATCAATGGTCAGGGATAATGGAAATTACAGTCCAGCATCTCAACAACTACAGTTGCCCCTGCTGTAAGGTCAATTATTATTGTTATCCCACATTGTAGGTGTGTAGCTTGGGTACTTCATTAGAGACCCATGCTCTCTGAGGCTAGGAGTGCCTTTTACCAGCTTTGTCTGGTTTACCAGCTACAGATGTTCTTTTCCAGTGTAGTCCATGCACTGGAAACCTTGAGGCTGGATTACTGCAAGGTGCTCAGTGTGGGGCTGCAGAAGGCACCTGACATGTGACACCATTATTAAAACATCCTTTAGCACCATCAGCTGTGTCTTGTGGAACCCCTTGCCAACAGGGATTCAGCAGGGGCCCTCTATTTCAACTTTGCTGAAAACTTTTCTATTCTGTCAGGCTTATGCAGGCAATTAACAACACATCTTTCCATAATAATCAGATCTGATTTTAAATTTTTCATATGGTTTTCTTTATAACTGTTTTAAATCACCCTGATGGGTTTTTTTTAATGAATAGTGGTATATAAAAATATTTTAATAACATGAATAAATAAGGGGGGGAGGTCTGAGATTGAGATTGACTTGAAAAGGCCACCTAGTTAATTCAGGGTAGAGGGAAAATTTAAACTAGGAACATCCTTGCGTGTAGCTCAGTCTCTTAGTCACCAATTCCTATCACTGAATGATTGCAGTTGGTGAATGTACTATGACAAGCTGAGGACTTAACAGGAATTGCAGGGAAGGGCATGATTTAAGTTGCCCATTGTGCAATAGTATGAGATTCTGCTAAGTTCTGGGGTCTAGATAGGACCCAGCACCAAACCTGAGAATCTCAGCATTGCAATCCATTTACTGTAAAGCACTGACTGCAGAGATTTGGGGTAAACTGAGCAGGAAGCTTTGGGGTGCACCCCCAAACTTACCGTAAGTTCACCAAGCCTTCCAGGATAATTCAAGAAGTTACTAGGGTCTTTGGAACCCTTGGAGGAGTTATTAATTAAGCAACTAGGAATTGCTTTTCTTCCAATGCCAATTAATTTCTCTCACCCATAATTCTTTTTTACTTCAATGTGGCCAATGCCTATTTTGAACTAAGAGAAGGGGTGAAAGCCTTATGGTATACATTTGCTAACCTAATACCCTTTTCCAGGGCACGATAAACGGTCACTCGCTTGATCAGGCTGATTATGTTCCAGCCCATGCTGTTTTTCCCTCTCCCTCCACTCCCAATCTCCCTGAACCCTCAACACTCCAGAAAACTCAGTCCTCAGGAGGTTGTTTTGTTTTAAATTAAAAACAAATATTATTCTAGATACCTGGGGCATCTCCAGACTGGTGGGGTTCCCCCAACCAGGTGTATTCTGCAACATGTTACTGATGCAATAATAAGCCATTAGCAGATTTATAGTTGACCATCCACACATCATTCTGCTTTACTAAGTTATGTGATGCTTCCCAAATGACGACACACTATTGCTACCCAGAAGGTCACTCTTGCTCTATGGCGCAACAAAGTCTGGAAAAACAAAAGCGGCAGCATTTGTGGTATGAAAAGTTACAGGACTTCAGCAGAAAGCTGTGGTGCATGCTCCAGAATGAAGCAGTAGGTCTGCACCAAAATCTTTGCAGGTGCAAACAGTGCTGAGAGTGGGATCAAGGATAACCACTCTGTTTTACCATCTTGGTTGGTGACAGATAGAGAAATAATGAATGCACAAGAAAAAGGCTTCTGGATAGGGACTAGTAAACCTGTCCAAAAAAACGGGCAAAACAGAGGAGACAGCAATGGCTCCTTATCGAAAGTAGCCCTCTGTGTTTACTTTTCTCTCTTGGTAGTCAATCGAGATAATTATTTATTGTTCATTCCTGTATTCCTCTCTTCCCTCCACAGGGCCCCAGGATGGCTAACCACCACAAAATACAAACACGATAAAAGCAATAGTTACGCTATCAGTAAAATATATTATGAATAATTAAAATGTAAAACAATGAAAAATCAAACTATAACTGCTAGACTCCTGTCCAGTTTGTCCTATCCTGGTAAAACAAATTACATTTTTAATTATGTCCATCTTGGAGAACCACCAATTTCGACCACAGAGTATGTTCTACAGATGTAGCCACGAAGAAGGCCCTGCTCCTTAATGGGACTGTAAACAGACTTCTCCCCACCCCCTGATTTTCATAGCCTAGAGGGTGCACACAGGCAGGGCCGGATTTAAGTTTGATGAGGCCCTTTATATGTCCTGCTGTCCTTTGTCAACAACAAATTGTCACTGTTTTTTTGTGTTGAATATATGCTATATAGTAATTTATGGACCTTAATAGGTATCTAAAGACATGCAACCAGTCCATGCAGAATGTAGGCACCCTATATATAGAAATGAGCAAACCAGTGATATTTTAGGGAGCAGGCTAGCAGACAGGGCCCATTACTTACATCACAGGAGCCTACACAAAATACACCGTTGCTGTATGTAGCTTTTGTTTTATTTGTTTTTTATCTTATATTTTGGAAATGTACATCTTTTTTCCCTTTAATTTTTTTTGGGGGCCCCAAGAGAGTGGTCCGTATAGTAAAAGCTATGGTTTTCCCAGTAGTGATGTATGGAAGTGAAAGCTGGACCATAAAGAAGGCTGATCACCGAAGAATTGATGCTTTTGAATTATGGTGCTGGAGGAGACTCTTGAGAGTCCCATGGACTGCAAGAAGATCAAACCTATCCATTCTGAAGGAAATCAGCCCTGAGGGCTCACTGGAAGGACAGATTGTGAAGCTGAGGCTCCAATACTTTGGCCACCTCATGAGAAGAGAAGACTCCCTGGAAAGGTCCCTGATGTTGGGAAAGGTGGAGGGCACAAGGAGAAGGGGACGACAGAGGCCGAGATGGTTGGATAGTGTTCTCGAAGCTACCAGCATGAGTTTGACTAAACTTCGGGAGGCAGTGGAAGACAGGAGTGCCTGGCGTGCCCTAGTCCATGGGGTCACGAAAAGTCGGACACGACTAAACAACTAAACAACAACAAGAGAGTGGGGCCCTAAGCTATAGCTTGTTTAGCTTATACGTAAATCCGGCACTGCACACAGGCATCCAGGTGGGCAAAGGCAGCTGCTCATGCAAACTGCAGCTGCTGCCACTTCTCACTCACCTGTGCACTTCCCCTTTGGGTGGCATAATGGTGGGAGCTGAGCGTAGGGAGCCCAATTGTCCCCTCCACCTTGAGAAACAGACCGCGAGGAAGTAAAGCCTTCCAGCGCAGGAAAGTACTGTACAGAGAACACAGGCAAGCAGTAGTAGTTGCCCCTTGTCACCATCACTGAGAATTGCCAGAGACCAAGGTTCAAATCCCTAGTCAATCATGAAGCTCACTGGTTGACCTTGGGGGCCAGTCACTGCCTCTCAGCTTAACCTACCCTCACAGGGTTGTTGTGGAGATTAAATACGGAGGGGGGAGAGCCATGCACGGCACCTTGATCCCCTCCCCGATTGCTATGCCATCCAGAGAGCGAGCACCGGAGGAGCCTGCTCTCTGTAGCAGCAACAACAATTATTATTATTAAATATTTATACCCTGCCCATTTGGCAGAGTTTCCCCAGCCACTCTGGGCGGCTTCCAACACAATATTAAAATACAATAACCTATTAAACATTAAAAACTTCCCTAAAGAGGGCTGCCTTCAGATGTCTTCTAAAAGTCTGGTAGTTGTTCTCTTTGACATCTGCTGGGAGGGCGTTCCACAGGGCGGGTGCCACTACCGAGAAGGCCCTCTGCCTGGTTCCCTGCAGCTTTGCCTCTCTGAGTGCGGAACCGCCAGAAGGCCCTCGGCGCTGGACCTCAGTGTCCGGGTAGAACGATGGGGGTGGAGACGCTCCTTCAGGTATACTGGACCGAGGCCATTTAGGGCTTTAAAGGTCAGCACCAACACTTTGAATTGTGCTCGGAGCCCCTTGGCTTGCTCGCCTCTCCTTTCCAGTCAGCACAAGGGGGAAATGCTCATGGAGGAGAGCAAGATCCCTATAGTAACCGCACCATAACGTGGAGCCAAGCCCCGCCCCTCGAAAGCAGCTCTCTTGGGTGACCGAGAGAAAACTGAGTCTGAGGTGCTTCCAGCCTCCGCCCCGCCGACCGAGAGAGGCCGGCGCAGAGCGAGGGCGGAAGGCACGGAAGCGGGGAGGAAGGGCGGGGCTCGCCGTCTGCCGGCTCGGCCTTCCAGTGCGGGCAGCGGCGAGGCGAGCGAGGTGGGTGGACGGCGGCTGCGTCCTATTACTATTACTACTGCTGCGAGAGGCGGTCGAGATGTTCAGCTGGATGAAACAAGGCGGGCGCCACCGGCCCGGGGAAGGCGAGGACGTGGTGGAGACGGTGACGGGCGGCCTGAAGGAGCTTTACGCGAAGAAGCTGCTGCCCCTGGAGGAGCACTACCACTTCCACGAGTTCCACTCGCCCGCGCTGGAGCCCGCCGACTTCGAGAACAAGCCCATGGTGCTCCTCGTGGGCCAGTACAGCACCGGCAAGACCACTTTCATCCGGTAGGTCCGGCGCGCGCTCGCCGCCTGGGGGAGACGCCTCCCGGCCTCGCCAGGCGGCGAAGGGCGCGTCACCTCAGGCACGCACGTCTCCCTTCTGGCCCAAACTGGCCCACCTCTCCCTCTGTGAAGCCCCAGGCGCCTCCTCCTGCTGCTGCTGCTGCTTCTTCTCCTCCTCCTCCTTCTTGTTATTAGTCTAAAGGTGATATATATATATATGTACATGGAGGTCTTCTTATAAGGTCCGCCACATGCCTTGGCTGGGCTCCTGTGCCTGCAACCACAAGGGGGAAATCTTTCAGCTGCTCGGTGTCTCCTTGACCTGCCTTTGGAAGTGCAGGAGGGGTGAGGCAACCCTCTTGTCATTTCTGAGCATGTAACTCAAATATGACTAACTTCCAGGTCATTGCCCCACAGTCATTTGAAAAAGTGACACCTGCCAAAGTTTGTTATATCGTCCTTTATATTTATAGCCTCTCTTTCCTCCAAAGAGCTAAAGGTGGCCTTCGCCATCTGTCCTCACAACAACCCTGTAAAGTAGGTTATGGCGAAAGGAGGTGACTCGCCCAAGGAAACTCGAGAGGATTTTGTGGTCAAGTGGGAATTTAAACCTGGGCCTAGTTGAACCATTGCACCTTGCCTATTAGTTCCAAAAATGATTAGCAAGTTTGGGTTGTAGGGATTTTTTGTTCTTTTGCTGTGGGGTCCACTTGATTACTGTTATCCATCCCTGTCATAAAAGTGGGGAGAAATAAAGTAAGCACCCTGTGAATGGTGCTTGTATGTATATTGCCACATTTTGGAAATGTTTAGATACATTATTTTATGGCAGTATTTTTAATCTCTTCAGTGGTTGCTGAGCTACTTTGGAAGGAAGGGCAGGATGAAAATTCAGTAAACAATTATAACATCCTTGGATCAGTCATGATTTGGAAGGCATGGGGTTATAAACCCCAATGTATGTATGCTGTTGAGGGACGCGGGTGGCGCTGTGGGTTAAACCACAGAGCCTAGGACTTGCCGATCAGAAGGTTGGCGGTTCGAATCCCCGCGACGGGGTGAGCTCCCGTTGCTCGGTCCCTGCTCCTGCCAACCTAGCAGTTTGAAAGCACGTCAAAGTGCAAGTAGATAAATAGGTACCGCTCCGGCAGGAAGGTAAACGGCGTTTCCGTGTGCTGCTCTGGTTTGCCAGAAGTGGCTTAGTCATGCTGCCCACATGACCCGAAAGCTGTATGCCGGCTCCCTCGGCCAGTAAAGCGAGATGAGCGCCGCAACCCCAGAGTCGGTCATGACTGGACCTAATGGTCAGGGGTCCCTTTACCTTTACCTTTTATGTATGCTGTTAACTATGATAGCAAATACTTGAACTGGCCATAAGATGTGGAGGTTTGGTGAATTTCAAAAGAAGGGTCTGTAGTAGCGAATGGTGATGGGTTCTCTTGTTTGTCCCAGCCAGCCTAACTGGGCACATAGGTGAACTTGAGAGGCATTCCACTCCCGTCATCACTGCCTTGTTGTGAATGTGTTGACGATTGTATCAGTGTGGATATGCCTCCCTTTTTGGGCAGCGTGTTGGACTAGGATAAGCTTGAGTGTTCTGTCTGTTCTATTGTTAGGGTCTTCCTGGGTAACTACCATATTCTGTCTGTCTGAGTGAACAGCAAAGGCCAGCCCACTAATATTTTTAATGCTTTGTAATCCAAGTATAATTCGTCTTTCCAAATACCCTGTAAGATAATGTTCTCATTCTGCAGACTAAGAGTTCAGGTTGAGAGTATATGGGCTGTACTAGCTCTTATTGCTAAACAGTGGCAGTTCTTAATCCAATCTGTTATGTATTGTGGTGTTTTTTTCAGTATTACGCTTAACTGGATCTCTACTTTGATTCAGTTTGCATAGCAGGGCTGTACCTTCCTTTTTGTCATGACGTGTAGGGATTCTGGAGCCAAACTAGTCCCCCTTCACAGATGCTTGCATACCAAATATTCCATAACAGCTGATGCTGTATAATCTCTAATTTTGCTAGATATTAATCCTGTTAGTGCTCTCCCTTTCTATGGTGAATATTCACTGCACACATTCCCTCTTCTTTAGTCCCGCATAGCTCATTGGTTAGTACACGTGTGTGGGCTCTTTTTTGGTGCATGTGCATGGAAACTAGTCAACTGCATAAAAGTAAAATTCAGATACATTTTCTCTTCCAGCTTTTCTTCTGGCCCTGCCCATCAACAGCTTACAAGCTCAGGAAGGTTGCACAGAAGGGATTTTGCCCCATTGGCTGAAAAAGAGCCCCAATGTGTGTACTAACCAATGCAAGATACATTGTCATAGTTCAAGGACATATTCTAGCCAGGTAAATCCACTCAAGAAGGCTGGGAAATAGGGTCAGTGAGGGAGAATCTCAGAGGCTAGAGAAAGAGACCTGGAAGGTCACATTTGGTTCCCATGCTTGAGGCTTCTCATCCCTTGGTTGGTACGTCAGAGTGTAGCCCTTTCAGCATTTTACCTTTCTGACATCTCATTGTCCAGTTATCCCGAGCTTTAATATTTACCTTCACAAAGTCAGTGCTACACCCCATAGGTAAATATCCCAGGAAGTTTTTCTTAATAGGCCTTGCAAAAAAAAATTCCATTTGCAAATGTCATCTAGAGGAGAAGATGTGTTAGTATTTTGTCTTGTGACAATAGCACATGCATTACTAACAAATGATGTGGACTTTAGTCATGCCATTATAAATTAGTTAGGCTTTAAGGTACCACAAAACTTTCCAATTTTGCTTTCAACACCTAAGGGCAATTAGATGTAAAGATGTTGAAGGAAAGGGAGGTGGTTAAGGAAAATAGTGACCTTGAGGTTGTAGGTGCTGTTGTGATGGATACAATAAGGAATGCCTACTGCTGTGCAGAAGAGTGTACAATATTGATGACTGAAATTATGTAACATGGGTTTTTTTAAAGTGTCCTTTAAACCACATCTTTGAATTTCTTTACATTCCAAAGCCGTACAGTACACTTGCAGTAACAGGTTTCCTGACTTCAGACCACATCTTTGATTCTGCCATTGTGTTTTTCTACTATAGCTGTGTTTTCTTCCTCAGTGTTTGCCTAGACAGCTTAGAAACAAATATCAAATTTTAATTCAAAACCCTAATAACTAGGTTATTTTACAGACAAAACTTAAAATTCATGTAGAACAAATAATTTTATTTCTGGGAAATTCCCTTCCTTCCTTTTTGCTTTTCCTTGTACAGGAAAAACACAACTGAACAATTTGTATATGTTACACATTACATTGTATATGCATTATACTATACATTACTTAGTTGCATTCTTCTTTCATTTATCAACACACTGCTCAGACTTGTAACTTGTCTGAAATGTTCACTTTAAATTATTGCAAAGGTAACTGTAGGCATTAATGGAATAAGATTTTGACCAATTACGGTACTTTTATTAACAATTTGCTTGTAAGACATTTTTGAATTATATAGAATGCCAATTTTCCTTACTAGGTTGCAAACAAGTAGACATTTCTTTCATAAAGTGTTTTCTTTTTAACAGATATTCACATCAAACAAAAGTGCAATGTAATTTGTCTTTATTGTAAAGCTATACAAATGCCACAGGATATATGTGAATATCTGGAAAATCTAGACACTCCGCTCTATTCTCTTCTAAAACTGCTTTTTGGGAATTTTGACCATTCTTATTTGTTCACTTTTTAATGGTCAGCTCAGGGGAATGGTACACATCTGTTGTTTCTCAAGATGACTTAGATGATTTGTATGTAGGTGGGGCATTGAACAAGCAGTCAGCCTTCAAAACAACAAAAAAGCATTGTTCAGAAGCAGCAAACTCTTTAATGGCCAGTTAGAAGCCTGGAGAAACAAAATTGTTCTAACCTGGCACCTGAAGGTCATTGGGTTATGCGCCAGGTAACTGAGATTAAGAATCTGATATGCCACCACCAGAAATACCATATCCCTTGTAGTTGCTCACCTCTTCTCTCCTCACTCCCTGATTGTACAGAGAAAGGTTAGTTTGTGAACCAGACAGTACATGTGTGGGTTGATTGTGGCTATGCGTCTACCAGAAGGCATAATCACATAAATATGTTCTGGTTTGTTGCATGCACTTTCCAGTTTATGGTATTTCTCCTCCATGATTTCATGTATGTAAAATGTGGAGAAATGAGTATGAAACAGTTTTCTCTCTTTGACCTTTTTAGTCTGATTGTGAGGCAGAACAGAGAGTGCCCACATTTCGCTGTACTGCTGAGATTTCATGCGCTCCTTAACCTCCTCACTTTCTATTCCTCCTTACTGGTTTCAAATGCCATGTGTTTTATTTCAAACAGGATTTCTACTCTTCAGCAAATCTAGTACCACAGGACTGGCCTTTTCTTTTTTTCTTTTTTGCTTGTAAGTCAAAAATAGTTTTTAGCCTGGTAATTCAGGGTGGAGTGATCATAACAGAGGAAAGAGATCGGCCCTGATGCTCTGCACTGCCCATCAGAACAATTTATGGATTCAACTCACCTCATCCTAGAAGCCCAGCAGTGCAAGTGAAGCATTTCCATACTGCTGAAGCAAGTATGCTTCAGACTGGTTGTTTTCAAATAGTTTCCCTTCAGGATAACCTTTCCATAGTGGGCTGCGAACCTCTGCCTGCCTGTCTGTCTATGATGGAACCTCTGTGTATTAGAAGTGTTTTCATCGTGCAGGTTTTAATTATGAATAGGAAGATGACTGGTTAGCAACCTCTCTAGAGTGTAATGGATATGAGCAATATTTCTTATAGCTTAAAAGAGTTAATACAAACAATAATTTAACAATTAGAATAAACCAAAGTACAAATGAAGTTAGCCTCAAGCCATTTTATTACATTAAGTTGTTTCTAACTAGCCATAAGAAGTTCATATCAGTCTATTGGCTCTCTTGCCCATGTTGACCACATTCAAACAAGCTTATGACACAAAATATGATAGCTTGAATCAGCTCTTCCTCTGCTTCCTGATGCCTTTTCAGCTGTCTTTCTTTTTTATTCCTAAGGTTCTGTCTTCAGTTTCTCCTTCCCCTCCTAATTGTCACCAAGTTACCCCCCATCCCCACATCTTTCCCCCACCCGCCTTCCCTCCCTTCCTCTTTTACAGCAGTCTATTTGCTTCCTTTCACTTGCCCTTTTATGACTTCCTAGCATTCCATGGTTGACTTATGTGGAGCACTGGTTGGGCTTAACTGGGCCTCATCATTGTCCTGTGTGAACTAACATTCGACCTGGGACACACCATACCCTCTGCTGCCACAGAGCAAGTGCAGGAAGGCTTGTCTGGCATTACAGATTCCTCCCACTGTGGATTCCCTGATGAACTTACCCCAACATTCCCCGGAGTGGAGTTTGAAAAGGACTTCTGTGATTACCACAGCAGGGACTCAAGGATAACTCTTAGCACTGCTCTAGTTTGAAGCTCAAATTGAACTGGGCTTCAGGAGAAATTGACTCCATTGAGCTGAAAGAGGATGGGGGTGGGAATGAAATGTGAGCAGAAGACAAAGAATCAATCTTCAGATATCCTCAGGATGTCTGTTGTGTGAACTACTCTACATTTTGCAGACTATCTTAAAATAGCCTTCCTGTATATCACTCTATGCCTTTGAACTTTTGCTCCCCTGATACCTACTGGCCACATAAATCCTTGCTTTTCCTGTGTTAATAATATAACAGAGTGGAGTGGGGGAAATTCACTTTTGTCCGCTTTTATTGTACTCTGCCTCTATTTTTTTATGAGCAATTTGCAAGTTGAGAAGGAAGATGGTAATGTGTGTGTGTGTGTGTGTGTGTGTGTGTGTCTACTTCTTAAGGCACTAGGTTCGCAAACCTCTGACATGGAGCAATTTAGTTCAAGTTAGTCCTGTTCATATTTACTTGGAAGTAAGTCCTGCTGAGTTAAATGCTATTGAATGTCAAAATAAAAAAATCCTTCCTGTAGCACCTTAAAGACCAACTAAGTTAGTTCTTGGTATAAGCTTTCGTGTGCATGCACACTTCTTCAGATACACTGAAACAGAAGTTGCCAGATCCTTCTATATATAGAGAAGGTGGGGAGGGGTATTACTCAGAAGGGTGGTGGGAATCGGAGATTGGCAGATAGCTGAGATGAGCCTGATGAGCCTGTTGACGACTCTTAACGACTGTAGTAGGTCTTACAGGAAAAGGCAAGGGGTGAGAAGGTGAGAAGTGGCTTAGTCATGTATAATGAGATAAGAATCCAATGTCTCTGTTCAGACCAGGTGTCTCCATTGTTTTAAGTTTGGTAATGAGTTGCAATTCAGCAGCTTCTCTTTCCAGTCTATTTCTGAAATTCCTTTGTAGTAAAACAGCTACTTTGAGATCTTGTATAGAATGTCCTGGGAGACACCTGGTCTGAACAGAGACATTGGATTCTTATCTCATTATACATTATACATTACTTCTGAGTAATACCCCTCCCCACCTTCTCTATATATAGAAGGATCTGGCAACTTCTGTTTCAGTGTATCTGAAGAAGTGTGCATGCACACGAAAGCTTATACCAAGAACTAACTTAGTTGGTCTTTAAGGTGCTACAGGAAGGATTTTTTTATTTTGACTATGGCAGACCAACACGGCTACCCATCTGCTATTGAATGTGTTTAGGATTGCAGCCTGAAATGCTGTATCAGAGCACAGGTCTATCTTGTCTAGCATTCTCTCTCCAACATTGGTTAGCCATATACCTTGGGAAGTACACAGGTGGCAGAAGTGTTCACACATTACGAGTGAGAGATCAACTGTTTCGAGTCCATGATGTTTTTGTTCGGTATCCCTTGGTTTATCCTAAAACTTTTAATAAAAAACAATGGGGGGGCGGACTAATGTTTATCATGCCATATGGTGGTTAATTAATCCCATAAAGTACTTGCATGAGGTGTAACGAAGGAAATGTTTCATATTCTGTATCCATTCCAAATATATCATTCCTAACCATGTACATATTTATCTATATTTATATATTTTTCTAAATGAAAAAAGACCTGTCTTGCTCAGTCTTCTTCCACAGGGAAGATTATTTATTTATTTATTTATGTATTATGTATTTATTATATCCCACCTTTCTTCCAAGGACCTCAAAATGGCATAAATAGTTCTCCCTCCCACCCCATGTTATTCTCACATCAACCCTGTGAGATAGGTTAGCTAAGAGACAGTGACTGACCCAAGGTCACCCAGTGACGTTCATGGCTGAATGAGGATTTGAACCCTGGTCCCTAGGCCCTACCTAGCCTGACATATTGTAGAATAGAACACTGAGCACTACACAACACAGGCTCCAACCCCTAAATCATTTTAGTTGCCTTTTTCTGTACCATGTCTCTTAGAAATTTGTTGATCAGAACTCTTCACAGTGTTTTAAATATGGCTGCGCTACGATGCGCCATGATACATGAAATTAAATATTCATTCCCTTTCCCAATATTTGAATTTGGCTTGTTGCTATAGCACCCAGAGCTGACGTCTTAGTGAATTGCCTATTAGCACAGATAGCATGTGAAACTGGTTGCAGTATGGTTGCCTAAATGTAGCAGGGAGGGTGGACTGCCTTTTAAAAACAAGAACAAAGTTAATAGAGCCCAATTACAAGGAGCTGAAGCTTTTCTTTTATTGACAGTGTGCAACAGAAATACAGAATTTCTGTCCTGCAACAATAAAGAATTCCTCGTATCTTCTATCCTGCCTTTATTTCCCCACCTGTGTAAAGCAGGAAATGGATAGCCCAATAAAATGTTGCTAGGTAATTGTTTATGGATGTGGGTAGTGGAAAAATAATTGTCACATGGTTTATTTGAGAGCAGATTGGAAATAATGCTACTTGGCATGCCAGCTATAATTGAATTCATCTAGCTTTTATTGTGGCTGTCAAAGTCTGTTAATTTTTCATTTATGTTACTAAAATAAGTGAATGATATCATTCAGGGAAACACTGAACAAACATAGTGATTTTTACATGTTTTCTCATTAGGACTGGCAACCTAGGCAACTGACTAGTCCAATATTGCTATTTGTCTGCCTATTAGTTGGCCATGATCAAATGCTCCATAAGGCAAAAATGTTGCTATGTGGGTGACAGCCGAACTTGTTTCTGTAATCAGTCTAACTTTCAAATCTGATTGATTAAAGGGTTGTTGGCTCTTTTGTTCTTATACATAACCATTCTTTTACAAAAAATTGATCAACCAGCTAACTAACCAAATCTCTTTCATCTAGCCGTAGGGCCTAACCTTTTTTTTACTTCTGTACACTCCCATAGATTTTATTTGCAGATAATGGTGAACTTACAAGCCTGCAGCAGACAGAAGTGGAAATATAGTGGGTGACTCAGTGATGGTGACAGTTGTAGAAATCCCCATTCAGGGAGAGTTGGCTACTGACCTCCCTACTTACTGTTAGAAGGGTTGCCCTTCATGTTTTGTGTCTCAGTTTGTTGATTGTTTCAATTTTAGTATTCTTATTTCCCATTCCACAGGTATCTGTTGGAGCAGGATTTTCCAGGAATGAGGATTGGTCCAGAACCAACTACAGATTCCTTCATTGCTGTCATGTATGGAGACACCGAAGGGAGTGTTCCAGGGAATGCTCTTGTAGTAGACCCTAAAAAGCCATTTCGCAAACTCAGCCGTTTTGGAAATGCATTCTTGAATAGGTAAGTAATGGTGGGTGGGAGAACAATTCTTGATGCTGTGTGCAGACTTGTTTTGTTCTTGGGGTTGAATTGCACTCAATGAATACTCCCAAGATGGAGTGCTAGAGTACTGTAAGTATTCATTGTATGAGTTGCTTGTTGGCTGCAGCTATGAAGCTTTCTCCTCCCTCAAAGTATTGAATTCAATGTTTTTAAAAACAAGAAAATCCAGAAATTGCAAATTATTGGGCATGATCTTAAATATGTGCCCAGCCCTCTTCCATTGATCAGATTGTCCCTGCTGTTTGCTATCTTGGGAGTAGAATATGTCTACATTCCTTAGTTTTGATTAAAATAATGCAGGTGTGTGTCAATGGTGGTGAGGCGGCTGCATATTGCATATTTATTTATTCCTTCACCATTTTTCTTTTCATTTGTCTCCTATCCCCATGGGAAATATAGAAAAATAAGTGATCAAAATAGTTGTGTGTTTTTTAAAAAGAAAACTTCTTTCTGTTAGACTAAATTACATTATTAGAATTGCTATGATGCACATCTAATATTAATGCTTTTAAAGCAAAAGCTCACAAAATGAATGTCCTTGTAGAGCAGGGGTGGAGAATATGACAGCCTGAATCCCTAATGCCTTCCTGTCCACCTATGGGCCAGCTTTTGACAGGTGGGTGGGACCAGCATATGATGTCAGGGGTGGGGCAGGCAGACACAGCTGTGGCAAAAGGCTTCACAAGGCCAGATTGGGACCCATCTCAGACCTGATTAGGCCTGCTGGCTGTGGGTTCTCCAGCACTGCCTTAGAGCACTGAGTAAAGACCAACAGAAAGTTTGGGTGCATGCTGAAATTAATGTGTGGGTTTTTCAGAAAACAATGAGACTTCTAAGTGTAAATAAGAATTGCAGTTTTATCTAGCCCCATGTAGTACTTTCAAGTACAATATTTAAGGGGGACCAAATGCAAACTATATTAGTGCTTAGGTTTCTTTAATGGGCACTCCTCGGATGTAACTGGGGCAAGACTGCTCCACATTATATCTGTACCGTATTAGTAGTTGTCATTCTGTTGTTACTCTGCTGTATTCTCAGTACCCCTTGTAAGTTCTGAATGCACCCATTTAAGTGGAATTTAAGCCGAAGAATTGATGCTTTTGAATTATGGTGCTGGAGAAGACTCTTGAGAGTCCCATGGACTGCAAGAAGATCAAACCTATCCATTCTTAAGGAAATCAGCCCTGAGTGCTCACTGGAAGGACAGATCGTGAAGCTGAGGCTCCAGTACTTTGGCCACCTCATGAGAAGAGAAGACTCCCTGGAGAAGACCCTGATGTTGGGAAAGATGGAGGGCACAAGGAGAAGGGGGCGACAGAGGACGAGATGGTTGGATAGTGTTTTCGAGGTTACCAGCATGAGTCTGACCAAACTGCGGGAGGCAGTGGAAGACAGGAGTGCCTGGTGTGCTCTGGTCCATGGGGTCACGAAGAGTCGGACACGACTAAACGACTAAACAACAACAAAGTGGTTGAAACAGCTTCTGAGTAGTGATTTCTGGAAGAGTTTGGAAGACCTTCAAGGATGATGACTCAAAACTTTCCAAATAGTAAATGAAAACCTTTGAAAAATGAATAAATGAGCCAAGAAGAATATTATTTGGGGGTGGGAGCCATAAACTACTTCTCTCTTGGCTGTGGGTGAGCCTCACACTATGGAAAGGTCCGTGAAAATATTAGACCAACTCCCATAGCAATGACTCAGGCTTTGCATGGTTTGTAGGTATTTGCTTTCTAGCTTGCCAAATACCAGAGCTGCTCCAGATAAGACACCCTGGAAGTTTGAATGTCTAAATACATAAATTTAAGCTCTGTATCTCACTTTGTCCATGGAGTTTTCTTGGCAGGGATACAGGAGTGGCTTGCCAGTTTCTGCTCCAGGTGGATCACGTTTGCTCAAAACTCTCCACTCTGACCTGTCCATCTTGGGTGCCCTGCACGGCATAGTTCATAGCTTCTCTGAGTTATTCAAGCCCATTCGCCACGGCAAGGCAGTGACCAAACTGCGGGAGGCAGTGGAAGACAGGAGTGCCTGGCGTGCTCTGGTCTATGGGGTCACGAAGAGTCAGACACGACTAAATGACTAAACAACAACAATCTCACTTTACTGCCATTAATCTGCTAAACGTTGGCTGCTCTCTGCGGGCATTGGTGTTTTGACTGATAAGCTACATTTTTAGTACCTTGTTACTCTGTTTTGCCTGTAGTTATCAGCAGGTACAGCATGCCAATGAGTTCATAATGTTCTTCAGGTTTCCACCACCACCTATTGATCAAGGAGAGACCTAAAGGGGTTCATTGGTCACCATTGTGTGTGTTTGTTTCTGGCAGCATAAGTAAGAGACTGAGAGAGCTTTATGATGAAGTATTACTGTGAGGCAGATGTTTTCCATACCTCTCTCACTCTTGACGTGGAAACAGAGTTAGAGCTACAAGCTCCAATTCTGCTACCCTGGCAGGAGCAAAACAACGCTGCTAAGTTTTGTTAGCTTCGCTGCACCCCCTCCCCAGGCCCACGCCATCGCACCCCCACCCCCACCCCCAATATGTGGAACCAGTTTCTAAACTCTGGTTCTGCTTTTGTGACATGAGCAATGGGAAAGGGAAGACAAGGGTGGGGTGCATCCTGTTCTCCAAGTGTACTCACACCCCTCTTCGGCTTTGGTTGTTTTCAGTCATTCTCTGTGGGGTTTCTTCCGCTCTCCCAATGCACATAGAAACAAACTTGCCTAGCTCTTTCTAATCAGATAGATGCTGTTAAACATATTGTCACACAGGGCTGCTTCTCACTTGTAAAAGGTTTGTAGAATGCTAATTTTAATAAGTCTGTATTAAAACTTCAGACACCTTGCATTTATGCTGCTATATAATGTCTTTCCCACTTTTTTACTTTTTTGCTGCCCTTACCCCCTTTCCTATAAATAGCTTAGCTGTATTGCACAGTGCTATCTCCTTATATCACTGCAGTTCTTGTTTTTCTTGTAAAACTTGCTCCTACTTCTTCATTGCTTGGCTTCCGGAAAATTTTAAACATTGTGTCATTGTTTAGCTGGAATCAAAGAGCTCAGTCTTCTCCTAATACTGGCTTCTTTAGCTTCCAGTAATACTCAGCTGAAGTCAAAAGGATTTTGCAGAAAATATGATAGCTCAGGAGGAGGAAAATCACATTCTCTAGAATATGTTGTAAAACATTTTTTCCCCCAGTTCAATCTTAAATCTGGTTTTAAAGCTCTTTTTTAAACAATCTGATTTTTAAAAATCTGCAGCCCACACCATACAAAACATCAGTGATTGCATCCAACTTTAGATGCAGTGAGAGGTGCATGCTAACAGGAGGGTGAGAGATTTTTGCCATGTCTTCCTCCTCCTGCAGCCTGGAGCATGCTGCAAAATCTGTTCTTAAGGGTCAGCCAATCCCCCAGAACAGATTTGTGGGGTGAGTATCATTGAGAGCTGCAAGGAGGAGAAGGATTTGCAAAAACTGCCACCTCTTCTCTTCTCTTCTGTTAGCAAATATCTCTGTTCGAGCAACAGCACACGGACAACCAATAGGATTGCACCCTAGGAATTATTATTTTTTAAAATTGGGGAAGCAGTATTAAAAGTGCATGAAACTAAACAGCATACATTACTCCACCTGGTATGTTTGCTTGCTGTGTTTTCTTAACTTGTGCACCAGTGTGAAAAGACTCTCTTAACTAGGATATGGGTTAGAATTTGTCAATAGCCATGTGTGTTTTATAGTTTTTTGTCACTTTTTCCCCTTTCAAGAATGAGGAAGAAATCTTACTCTTGCTTCTCCTTCACTACTTGCTGTGGTTGGTATGTGAGAAATTGGGGACCAGATGCCCACTCCATCATGAACTGATCTGTCGTTTCC